CTCGTCGAAGGCTAGCGCCTGCACCTCGTCGCGGTTGCGCACCAGCATCACCGACAGGCTCTTGTGCGGGGCCTTGCCGGCGGTGAAGGAGAAGAAGTAGGCTCCGGGCACGCGGCAGCGGAACTGGCCCGTGGCAGCATCGAAGTCGCCCCCGATGTTCACGTACACCTTGTCGAAGGTCACTGCCATCTCCGACGTGCCCTCCAGCGGAGTGGTGCGTGCCGCCGAGAAGGCCGAGCGCAGCTCCGTGGAGCTGGGAGCCGGGCTCAGGGCCCAGCTGGTGGCCAGGCCCAGCAGGCCCAGCAGGAGAGGCAGCATGGTGCCTGGGAGAGGAAGGAGAAGGGGAAGGAGAAGGAGAAGGTTGGGTAGGGGCTGCCTCCAAATGTCCATAGCTCCCGGGTCGGGAGACGGATTCTCTTCCCAGCGCTGCCCTTGACCCACAACTAGGATTCTGTTTCCTATACACTTGGACTAGATCAGTGGTTCTTAAACTTTAATAGGCCCGTGTATCACCTGGAGGGCTAGTTAAAACACACATTGTTGGGCCCTACCCCCAGAGTTATTTAGTAGGTCCAGGATGACGCCTGAGAATTTGCATTTTTAACAAATACCCAGGTAATACAGATGGTCCAGCATTTTGGGAACCATTAGATTGGGCCAGTGATTCTAAAAACTTTTTTTTTTTTTGTAAGCACCGGCACCCCTTTCTCAGGTGAAAACTCACACACATATAACACAGACACAAGCAGAGACCCTCTGTTTGAAGGGGCCTGTAGCCCTGTCTACTGGGCTTACCCCATCCTCTCCCCCCTTGGTACCCAGGGATCCTGGGAACACAATGGATGGTTAGGGGGTCCATGAGTTTCCTTTAGCCTCCGGGTTGCTGCATTTTCCTGTGGCTCTTCTTTGGTCACTGGCTCTCTGTGCTGATATCCTCCATGATGGCCATTGTTTCAGTCCCCATATGGGCAAGAAAGGAAATAGCTGTTCCCTGACCTCTTTCCTGCCTCTGACCTACTCAAAGGTCAGCTCCTACACTGGACCTCTGGATTTCTTAGGGCGCTTTTTGCACTAAAGAGGCCAGAACAGTTAGGCTTTGAAGCAGCTCCCTCCTCCCCCATGAAATCAGAGCAAGTGAAAGTGACTCCATCTGGGCTTAGGGGCTGGTCACTGAGGGGAAGGAGAGAGCCAGGAGTTGCTGGGGACAGAGAGGGAGAGTAACAGTTCCAGCAGAGCTTTGGCAAGGCTGTGAGGTCCGCACCTTTGTTCCTCAGTGGTGGAGTGGAGAGGCTAGACCTGGGCTTGAGCCTTTGCTTTACCTCTTACACACTGTGAAACCTTAGGCAAGTTCCTTAACTTCTCAGGGCATGGCTTCCTCTGTGTAGATGTGAGGAGACCTTCCTCCCAAGCTTACTCTGAGGATGCTCTGAAATAACAGGTTTCAACAGTTTGTGAACAGCTGTGCCACCAGGTGTGCAGAAGCTTCTGCTCTTGGCCTTGAGAAAAGCAATCTAATCAAGTTCTTAACATAGGGGTTAGAGTCTCAGTAACTCCTACCCCTGGGAGCTTGACGAAGGCACTGCTTAACTCAAAGGAGTCACTGTCTGATAGGATTCCATCATGCTTCCTAGTAGTGCATAGTCTTTGGGCATTGACTATCCAAAGGCCCTGAAGTTAAAGCAGGACAGAAAATGAGCTGGCAACAGCCTAGGATATGGCCTTCTATGGGCAATACCCTGAGAGTGTGTGTAGCTTTGTGTTTTTTAGAGGTACTGGGGGCCTGCTGAGAAGGGTTGCAGGGTGCAGCTGTGCAGACGTGCCCACCTAAGGGTAGGTGGGCTCTGGAATCTAGCCCACATTCTACTTGCCCAAATGTGCGGGGTGCTGCGCCTGGGGAAAAGTGTGCCTTTTTTTCTCATAATAAAGACCTCAGGTCCTTAGCCCAGCCGAACACGCTTTTCCTCCAGAGGAGGTACCTTTCCTAATTCCTACGAAGGTGCCCCAAGACCCTTAGGGCAAGGAGGTGCGAGGGAGCCCATCTGCAGTGGTGACGATCGCACGCACAAGTACTGATGCATTTTCTTTCATAAAACTCTTTGGACACGTCTGGTCACAGCACACCTGGGAGACAGGTGGGCCCTCTCTCATTTTATAGATGAGGAAGCCGAAGCCCAAGAAGAGGAAGAGTTTTGGGCCAAAGTCACCTAAGGAGCACTAAAGCAAATCTTGAACTGAGGTCTTTTGATTGCAAATTTGGAGTGCCTTCCTCTCCACCACCTTTCCCCCCTCAACAGATATTGCTAGCCAACTTGTCCTCTGCCTCAGTTTCCCTTTTTGAAAAAACAGGAGGGGATCCAGGGTGAAGGAGAAAGAAGACAAAACCAAATAAAACCAACCAAACAAAAAACGCGAGCGTTTTGCCCTCTGAGAGTATGGGAACATCGCACCTCTTCCCAGCCCTGCTGCTCTCCTAGCAGGTCCTGCCCCAGAAGCACCTTCCCCCTCTAACCCGCAGTCTCCCATCCGCCAGCGCCGCAGGGTCCTCCTGTGTGTCCAGGCCATTTCCCAGACCCTTAAGTCCCCTCCTTCCTTAGACCCCCTTCCCTGAGCGGGTCTGAGGTAGGAGGGTATCAGGTGGGCCTCAGAGCTGCAGGGAAGGAAATGGCTGTTTCTAGCTCTGTCCAGGTGGGGCTCACAATAGTCATCTTCAAAGAGAAAAAAACTGGGACACAGAGGTGGACAGACCCAGAGCCCTGGAACTGACGGGGGAGGTGCAGTGATGTCAGGTAAGGGGATCTCAGAGAGCCCCTCCCAGCCCAACTCCACTCCCCAATTACCTCCTCCTTCAAGCCCGGCCAGAACCCCCTTCCCACCTACCTTGAAAGCCCCTCATGCTCCCAAGATGAGTACCCCTTTCACAGAAGCCAATCAATCATTTCTCATGAAAAAAAAACATCTCTCAAAAAGAGGTACCCCAAACCCTCTGCCTGCCCGCTCTCCCCCACCCCAGACCTTCCTTTATCCATTCTTTCGGAGAAAAAGCCCTTGAGCCTCTTTCATGAAAAAAGCTCCTAGGTCCTCCTTTTAGAGAAGTGCCCGATCCCACCGCGTCTTCCTCGCCTCCAATAAAGGAGACCTGGCCGTCCCCCCGCGCCATCCC